GTTGCTTGCCCCTGAGGGAGACCCGGATGCACTAGACATCCCCACTCCGCGCACTTACGCAGAGGCGATCTCGGGTCCCTACTCCTCTCAGTGGCAGACAGCCATGGACGCAGAGATGGCATCCTGGAAGTCCACAGGCACCTACGTCGACGAGGTTCCCCCTCCTGGGGCGAACATCGTCGATGGCATGTGGATTTTCAGGGTGAAGCGGCCGCCAGGTTCTCCGCCTGTCTTCAAGGCTCGTTACGTTGCTAGAGGCTTCAGTCAGCGTCAGGGGGTCGACTTCTTCCAGACCTTCTCCCCCACCCCGAAGATGACCACTCTTCGGGTTCTGCTGCACGTTGCTGCTCAGCGTGACTACGAGCTTCACTCTCTTGACTTCAGCACAGCGTTCCTGCAGGGCAGCCTGCACGAGGAGATCTGGCTGCGCCGCCCACCTGGCTTTACTGGGTCGTTTCCCCCTGGTACCCAGTGGAGTCTCCGCCGGCCAGTCTACGGTCTCCGCCAGGCGCCACGTGAGTGGCACGACACACTGAGGACTACTCTTGCGGCTCTTGGGTTCGCGCCGTCTACTGCTGACCCGTCGCTGTTTCTGCGCACAGACACGTCGCTGCCGCCGTTCTACATCCTCGTGTACGTTGACGACTTGGTCTTTGCTACTGCTGACACTGAGGCACTCGCTCGTGTGAAGTCGGAGCTGCAGAAGAGACACACCTGCACTGACCTGGGTGAACTGCGTAGCTACCTTGGCTTGCAGATCACCCGGGACAGAGCTCGCCGCACCATCACCCTGACTCAGTCACACATGGTGCAGCAGGTCCTTCAGCGCTTCGGCTTCCAGTTCTCCTCACCACAGGCCACACCTCTGGCTACCAGCCACTCGCTCTCAGCTCCACCTTCGGACGAGTCCGTAGAGCCGAGTGGCCCGTACCCAGAGCTTGTAGGCTGCCTCATGTACCTGATGACTTGCACGCGACCTGACCTCGCGTACCCTCTTAGCATCCTTGCTCGTTACGTTGCGCCTGGGAGACACAGGCGAGAGCACTGGGAGGCTGCTAAGAGGGTGCTGCGTTACCTGTGCAGTACATCAGGCATGGGGCTGGTGCTTGGAGGACGCGACAGAGTTGTCCTCACTGGTCACTCGGACGCCTCTTGGGTGGACGACCTGGCTACGCAGCGGTCGTCACAGGGTTACACCTTCAGCCTTGGCTCAGGTTCTGTCTCGTGGCGGTCCACCCGCTCTTCCTCTGTTCTCAGCTCTAGTTGTGAGGCTGAGATCTACGCCACAGCCATGGCTGCACAGGAGTTACGCTGGCTCACCTACCTGCTGACTGACTTGGGAGAGCGGCCTAGTTCTCCTCCAGTTCTGTACGGTGACAACAAGGCGGCCCTTGCCTTGTGTCAGGAGCACAGACTGGAGCACAGGACGAAGCACATTGCTCTTCGCTACTTTCTTGCTCGAGAGCTTCAGCAGCGCGGTCAGCTTCGGCTTGTGTACGTGGACTCGAAGGCCAACACTGCTGATATCTTCACCAAGGCGCTCCCGCCTAGTGATCATCAGCGGCACTGTACTTCTTTAGGCCTTGTGTCCACGTTTCCTCACTTGCTCACTGCTTGACATTCTTTGTACTGTACTTTATATATATCTTGCTGCTTGCTTGCTAGGTTTTGATCACTGTGTTGCTTGCCTTGTACTATATCTAGCACTGCATGTGAACTGGCCTTGTGGCCTTTACTTGTGCTCGGAGTGTGGTGACGTTGTGATCCACCCTGGGCTTTGTTTTGCTTTGCTGGACTGGTCTTGTGACCCTTTGTTCTCCCCCACTTTGCCTATGGGGGTGTGTTAAACTGTATTATGCTTCTAGGCTGTAGTGGGGTAGCCAATATGGGGTACAACCCCAACTAGGGTTTCATATTTGTACCCAAACTTCTGTTAGTTCATTCATTCTTGCCTAGTGATTCTGAAATAAATATCATCAAACCAATCGCATTGCGACACGCCTAAGCCCACACGACTGTACTGTCTGATACAGTGATCCGCAGCACTTTGTCGAGCCTGTTCGCGCTCGAACCTGTCCGAACCTGTTATCCACACTTTGAGGAACGAAATGACCAATCGGCTAACACTGCGTGGCAGTTGTGTTCGATGTCAATCATCAAACTGCCCACCGACAAATTGGAACCCCCATCAAACTTACCGCGGCACGGGCTTCGGCATCGTGAATTTTTTATATCGCGGGGAATTGTTTCTAAAACCTGAAATACGAACGCGCCACCTTTCATCACGCGGTTCCGCGCAAGCGTCATTTTGACATTTATTAACAGTTCGAAATGGAGTTTTCAGGGCTAGACAGTTTGTCGGTGGGCAGTTTGCAGATTCAGGTGGATTTGCCTTTGATGACACAACATCGGAGGCGTCTACGATTGGCTAATTCGTTCCTCAGAGTGTGGAATTTTGGTTCGGCAACGTTCGAGCGCGAGCAGCTTCGACATGACGCCACGTTACACGCTTCGACATAGTGCTTCGGCCACGTGGCTCATGCCACGCGCCAGGTTTGAAGTGTAAATAACTGATCGCGCTGCGCTAATCGCACTTGGCCCGAACCAATCACAGGCCGCCTCGTCACTATCTCCTTAAACTTTCAAACTCCACTCTGAAAACGTATCAGCCAATGATTTATAGCCCCGTCATACTAACGAAGTAAACATGTTCAAATGTATGCTGACGTGTGAAAAATCAGTGTTTGCGTGCTCGATACTACATACAACAACTACCGTTTCAAAAAATATATATAATCAGTACATGGTAGCTATTTACAATGTAAACAACACACAACTAGAGATATCAATACCACAAACTCATGAACAAGCCATAAAAAAACTCAGTAGATTCCAACAAAAAACAGTAGTTTGCATCGTTTTTTCTTCATGAAAACGTGGCATAACGCTGGTCACTATTTTGCAACCTTCTGCATGAGACCGTCTTTTAGGAGGGCTGCATACCATCTTGACGTTGTTATGTGCCTAGTGATACACCATAAAGTACCCACCTTAGTCAATATTTAGAGGCAATAATGGTTCACATCTATGCTCGAGATTTGATTATTGTACATTTTCTGAAGTCATAACCATAGGCTGTGTTATTATAAAAGTAGTTGAGTACATAGCTTACCATACAAAACTGTATTGGAACTAAGAAGATAGTAGCTTTTATCAGAGACTACCATTGATTACCGTTGAAGGTCCCTAACCATTATCTTGGGCCCTAATACGATTCCAGTGATCCATTCATTTTATTGGTTTCAAGCAAGATCACTGTTGTAAAGAACATTTTGAGAAGAGTAATGTAGGCTCATGCATAATTTTTTACTTTGTAAATTAAAATCTTCAATAAAATCCTGATACAGTGTACATTTGTAACACACCTTCTTGATATCCATACGGTGTCCCTAGAGAAAATTTATACAATTGGCAGCATACATCTTCAGTAACATAAACATTTCATTGCATTCATTGACATTTGATAGTCCAATTGAATAAATGTTTGATAGTCATAAATAAACGTTGTTTTATCTTCATTATTATGTTTTCATACTTCAAAAATAAATCATTTAATTGGAACTGTGAAGAAACTAGCTATTAACATATACCAATATTATTGAGCATAAGTAAATTATTTTACAGCTCTATTTGTATTATCCATTCATCAATCTTATATGTTAACGGAATGTCGGCGTTCATCGACACTCTTTTTTTAACCTCGAGTTGTTATCGATATGGTAATGTATGACACCACGATTGGTTCCATTCTGAGCTGGCTTTGATTTTGCTAATTCTGACGTGTCTTGTGTTGTACCATGCTCGCGCTGCGGCTCCTGTACCTGCCCCGTCAGCGATTCATGGGCTGATGTTCATTAGTTCCTCGAGCCAACACGGAACTGCTGATTTGGTGGGGCATGCGGTTTTGCAGATAGCCTCGACGATGATGATTGGGATACCGAGACTGAACCAGTTGCCGAACACATGTCAACCATACGTGGGCAATTCAGTCCATGAATGGCTGGCTGCGATTGGTGCTAATTTTCCAACTGTGAAATGCCAGGATACATTGAACATTGCATCCACGGTGACGTCAGAATGGTGCATGCATGCCGTTAGTCGGAAACCTTATCCCTTATTGTTTCGGCGGGGAGTAACCAACGATACCCTAAACCACGTGTACACGTTCGCGCATGCTCACGACCATTATCCCTATTGGTCCGCGTTCGCGATGCGCATGTTCAATTGCTAATGAACCTGTCGAAACAATGACTGCCATTTGGCGCTCAATGAACCTTCGACTGAATGGCGCAATGTCGAGCCTAAACGATGATAAGTCACACGTAGGCTTGGCAACCCAGCACTACGCTGGTTTGGTTCCTACAATGTGGGAGGCTCTCGGTTGGGTTCCTGGTAAAAAGTTCCGATATGACCGTACACTTACATGTACACGACCTAATTGAAGTCGAAATGTCGGGAGCGCGTACCGCGCGGGATACCGTAATCACCCGGACATACCACCCTAGGGTGCTATGATAACTACATCAAAAAGGGGGGGGGGGGGGGGTCTTGTCATGGGAAAAAGCTACATAACACCCGGGTCTTTTTATAATGTACATTTTTTTTTAAGCAGAAACGGTTGGGAACAAAATGTACATGCTTGCTGCGGCCGAGAGTCCTATCATTTGTTCTGAGAGCACTAGCAAGCACATAAAAGCCTAGAACTCCCTCGTTACTTGGGCGAATCGTGTGTTTGACGGCTCGTTGGAAAGCCAGCAGAGTGCAGATCCCAGTTCCTGCAAGGTAGAGGACATGCCTTTACAACAGTGGTATCAGAGCTGGTCGGAGGAGTCTACGCGCCTGAGCGACGAGAAGCAAGCATGCTGACTTCAAGCGAGGCCTCCTGCACTTCCTTGGATGGTGTCGTTGTAAATTCCGGCGAACCCTGGGCAGCCGCGACGATGTACGACACGTCGGCGGTACCGATTTTCACAGGTGAAAACTACTCCGCGTGGAAGTTTAAGTTCCAAGTGCTCATGATGGAGCGGGGACTTTGGGGTCTCTTCGATGGGACGGAGAAGAAGCCGGACGACGAGAGCGACATCGCGGCTTGGAAGAAGAAGGACCAAAAGGCGTTCGCTACGCTAATCTCGCGGATCGGCATCAACCTCGTGAGCTCGGTGCGCACGTGCATCAAGCTCGAAGCGTCGGCGCATGAGGCGTGGAAGCGGCTCGAGACAATGCACGTGAACAAGACTCTCCACGGCAAGATCTTGGTCCGGAATGCGTTCTACACGGTGAAGTTGCGCGCGGGCGAATCGATGCACGAGTATGCGACTCGTGTGGAGGAACTTGGGGAAACGTTCGTAGACCTCGGTGGAACGGTCACGGAGGAGGATTGGATTTTGACCTTGCTTTGCGGTCTTCCGGAAGAGTGGTCGACGGTGATAACGACACTCGATAGCGTGCAAGACACTTGGACAAAGGAAACGGTGGTCGGTCGGCTTCTCCATGAGGAATCGCGTCGCCGACAATTCGCTAATGAGAGCGTGGAGACCGCCATGTTCTCCGGAGGGAGTTCCGGAGGAAAGTCCAAGTGGAGCAAGGGTGCGACGAAGAAGTCGTACGGTGGAAGCGATCGCGGCAAGGGGAACACATCAAACGGCACGAGCAAGTGCCACTATTGCAGCAAAGCGGGACACTTTTGGCGAGAGTGTCGGAAGCGTCCGAGCGATTGGACTCCATCGAAAGCGCGGAACCAAGAGGGCAACGCGCACACGGCATCCGGCGAGGCGGATGATACAAGGGAGTCGATCGTGTTATTGGCCGGTGACGGGACCAACACTCCAAACGACGCGTGGTTCCTTGACACAGGCGCAACACAACACATGACTCACTCGGCATCGTTCCTCACCAACGTTGGTGCACCGGGAAACGTCACGCGCGTCGTCTTCGGAAACAGCAAGTCGCTACCGGTGGTCGGAGTTGGGAGTACGCGTCTCATCGTCGATGGCGGACCGGTGGACATCACGAACGTGCTTCACGTCCCGGGATTGAAGGTGAATCTACTCTCCGTCACTCAACTCGCGAAGAAGGACGTGAAGGTCACCATCGATGGCGCAAAGATGAACCTCTTTTGGAAGGGGAAGCAATTCGCACAAGGCGTTCTCAACGGAGAACTCTACCAACTCAAGACGCACTCGGAAGCGGCTTCATGCAACGTGGCGCAAGGCTCCAAAGCGACTCTTAAGGCGTGGCATAATCGACTTGCGCACGTCAACTGCGACTCGGTCAAGGAGTTGATCAACAAAGAACTTGCGAAGGAAATCGACATGATCGCCGGCAACGACGAGAAGGGCGTGTGCGGGGCGTGTGTCGAAGGAAAAATGGCTCGCAAGCCATTTGGTAGCCGTACTTCTCCCCTCGCTAAGGACCCGCTTGCGCTTGTTCACATGGACGTGTGTGGACCGATGCGGTGTGCATCAAAGGGAGGAGCATGGTTCCTCTTGGTGATGCTCGACGACGCGACGCGGATGTGTTGGACCCGACTCTTGAAGGCTAAGGGAGATGCGGCCAAGACGATTCAAGAGTGGGCGCTCGAAGTTTGCGACGACGACAAGAAGCGGATCAAGTGTATTCGCACCGATGGTGGTGGCGAATTCGTGAACGCGGAGCTTGAGAAATGGATGAAATGCATGGGCATTAAGCACGACGTCACAACTGTAAGAGGGGTGTTTACTGTTCATTCCGAACAGTACTTTCCAAGTCACCCTTATCCTTATCTTCTCAGATTCTCTAGTGCCACGTGGCACTCTACTTTTCTTGCACTACAATTCTTGGTCCCACAATCCACTTTCCAACCTTGTTTCTTGCATGCTATATAAACCTTGCTTGTATTCCCTCATATCAACCAATTCTCATTCAACTCTTCTTCAATTACTCAGTTACTTCTTCGCCTATTTCGCGAATACTCTCTTTCGCCAAAGTCTTCCGCCGCGTTTATCCTCGACTTAGTCGACCCCGCTAATTCCTTAGCGGACTTAGGCCAGCGGGCCTAACACTTGGTATCAAGAGCCTTCGCGGGGAGCGACTTCCAACGAGCGACCGTCGACGACGAGACTACGCCGTCATCGTCCCGCGGTGCCGACTTGCAGACTTGGAGTCGTCGAGCGAACATGGACGAATCCATGAACGCTTTCCCCCACGACATGGGCAACACGCTTGCCGAGCTCATGCGTCAACTCGAAGAATTGACGTTGGAAAATCGTCAGGTACGAGCCGAAATGCAACAACTTCGCAATTTGGCTTCTAACCCCCATGGCCTTGCCGCACCAACTCCTGCACCCACCACGTCGACTGGCGCGGAAGCGCTGCCGGAACGTCGAAGCGCGCTCAAGCCGCAGAAGCCCGAGTCGTTCGACCCAAGTCAACGCGACGCGAACGTGCGAACGTGGCTCTTCATGCTCAACAATTACTTCGCCGCGAGCGGGGTGCAAGAGGCGGACGCGCAGCAGCGGATCGAGTACGCCGTAACGCTGCTGAGGGGCCCGGCCTTGGAGTGGTGGCGCCAACTTACGCAGACTGCTGTACGGAGGGCTCAGTTAGACGGGCATCAACAGGGCGTGGGGCATGCAGCTGCAACTTCGAGCTTAGGGAGTTTAGCTTTGGGTGTTACCACGGTTCCGACGACATGGGAAGGATTTGAAGCGGCGCTGAAAAGTAGGTTCGATTTGGTGAATGCCTCCGAAGCTGCTAGGAAGCGTCTGCGTCATTTCCGACAGATAGGAAACGTCCAGGAGTACACACGACGGTTCTTGAGCATCTGCAACGAGATAGACGACATCACGGAAGCAGAGATGCGCGATCGCTACCTCGAAGGGTTGAAGCCGGACATAGCGGAGATTATTGCGATTCACGGGTTGTCCACCTTCGAGTCAGTAGTCGCAGCAGCAGAACGCGTCGACACAGTACAAAGCCGACGGGGTCGTGACGATCGCGATAGGGGATACAACAGACCGATCAACGACGCTCGATCGAGGGACGGACCGTCGCCCATGGAGATTGGTGCAGTTAACAGTGACGGCTCACAGCGCAACGGATTTAGGGGGAACTGTCACTACTGCAAAAAGCCGGGACACATGAAGCGGGACTGCCCACAGTTCAAGGAGCGGCAGCAGGGAAACGGAAACCGCCAGTAGATAGCGGGTCGCTAGCTGGCGTGGAGGTTCCCGTACCCGCCACGTCTACCAACGTAGAGGAGAAGCAGTCATCTACGGAGAACGAGGTAGACACTGTTGATCGTCCAGTCGTGCTTCTAGGGAAGCTTCGCGGAGTTCCTGTTAAGATTCTCGTCGACAGTGGAGCTAGCTACTCGTTCGTTTCGTCTTTATTAGTTAGCCGTCTCCATCTTGAAGCAGATTCCTCAGTCAACTTCAAGGACGCTCGCATGATAGATGGGACGCCTCTCCACATAGGACCAGTCATTCGCAAGTTGCGCGTAGTGCTAGGACCGATCACAGTTAGGCGTGACTTCGACTCTGCGACGCTGGACGGTTACGATTTCATCTTCGGGAGAGATTGGCTACGGACGGTTAGTACTCAGTTCGATTGGGCTCAGGGAAGCTGCAGTGTCAAGGTAGATGGCGAGTTCCGGGAGCTGCCACAGTGGAGCGATGGGGCCACATCATCCACAGCGATCATCAATGCTGTTCATGCGCGACAGCTGGTGAAGCGAGCGGCACGGATCTTCGCGGTTTTCCTTGAGGAGGTGGAAGCTGAGGAGGGGAAAGGAGGGAGCGCAGCAGTTAGTGAGAAGGCGACTCTTCCTGCTGAGGTGAGTGCACTGTTAGCAGAGTTCGCAGACGTCTTCCCCGACGAGTTGCCCCCAGGGTTACCTCCCAGCCGAGCAGTAGACCATCGAATAGAGTTAGAGCTGGGAAGCAGGCCAGTAGAGAAGCCGCAGTGGAGATTGAGTCCAGCAGAGACAGAGGAGATGACGCAGCAGGTTAGGCACTTTCTCGCACAGGGGTTCATACAGCCATCTAGATCGCCTTGGGCCGCACCGATCCTCTTCGCACCCAAGAAAGATGGAGGGTTACGGATGTGCATAGATTACCGCGCACTGAACGCCGCCACCGTCAAGAATCGATTCCCGGTGCCGAGAGTAGAGGATCTTCTAGATGCAGTGCAGGGCGCTAGAGTCTTTTCTAAGATCGACCTTCGTTCGGGTTACCACCAGATTCGCGTAGTTCCAGAGGACCAGCACAAGACGGCGTTTCGTACGAAGCAGGGGTTGTACGAGTTTAGGGTTCTACCGTTCGGTTTGACCAACGCCCCAGCGACGTTCCAGACGCTTATGAACACCGTCCTCTCCGAGTTCCTAGGTTCGTTCGCTATCGTTTACCTAGACGACATACTCATCTTTTCCAAGTCGAAAGAGGAGCACGTGCAGCACTTGCAGAGGGTCTTTGAGGTCTTGCGGAGGGAGAAGCTGTACGCGAAGCAGTCGAAGTGCGAGTTCTTTCTCCCCGAGGTCGAGTTCCTAGGACACGTCGTATCCGCTAGTGGCGTTAGGACCGACCCGAAGAAGATCGCAGCGGTACAGGATTGGGTAGCACCGACCTCAGTCAAGGAGTTGCAGAGCTTTCTCGGATTCGCGAATTACTACCGTCGTTTCGTTCAGGGTTACGCTTCCATCGCTAGTCCACTCACCGACCTACTTCGGAAAGGCGTAGAGTACGTTTGGGGTCCAGCGCAGCAGCAGGCGTTCGAGCAGATGAAGCAGTCGCTCACGTCTTCACCGACACTGTCGTATCCCGACCCTCTTCGCCCGTACGTTGTAGTGACCGACACATCAGACCAAGCCATTGGAGCAGTGCTTCTTCAGGACCAGGGACGCGGGTTGCAGCCGATCGCGTACGAGTCGCGTAAGCTGAGGGGAGCGGAGTTGAACTATCCCATACACGACAAGGAGGCGCTCGCGATCATCCATGCGTATAAGGTATGGAGGTGCTACCTAGAGGGGGCAGATAGTGTTATACGCACGGACCATTGCTCGCTTCGTTTCCTCAAGTCGCAGCCGCAGCTGAGTCGTCGCCAGGCTAGATGGATGGAGTTCATGGAGGGGAGCTTTCATTACAGGATAGAGTACAAGCCAGGCGTGCGCAACCCAGCAGATTTGCTCACTCGCCCTAGTTGCCAGCTCGCTAGCCTCACAGTCACTGTCGGCCACCCACTTCTCACAACACTCTTCGAGCACGGTTACACAGTAGATCCCGACTTCACACCGCAGCCGCCCGCAGGAGCAGAGGTGCAGGGTAGTGTTTACATACGGAAGGGCACCACACGGATTTGGGTTCCAGCCTACCGCCCTCTTCGACAGCTCCTTCTCTCAGAGGCGCACGACGTAGTTAGTGCAGGTCACTTCGGAGCAGACAAGACGGCTAAGACGCTTAGTCGCACGTACTACTGGCCAGGGCTTGCAGCAGACGTAGAGGATTACATTCGCTCGTGTGACACGTGTCAGCGTACGAAGTCCTCGCGACAGCGCAAGGCAGGACTTTTGCAGCCGATTCCACCGCCCGATTGCCCTTGGCAGGTAGTTACCATGGATTTCATCATGGCATTACCGCGCACAGTTAGGGGTCACGACGCCATCTTCGTTGTAGTCGACAAGTTTTCTCGAGCAGCGCACTTCATCCCCACGCACGGCCAGGTCACAGCAGAGGAAGCCGCGACGCTGTTTGTAGATTTCGTAGTTCGACTGCACGGGGTTCCAGATTCGATCATTTCCGACCGCGACCCTCGATTCACCTCAAAGTTCTGGAAGCAGCTTTTCGCACTGTTTGGGACTCGCTTAGCCATGTCGTCTGCGTACCATCCAGAGACAGACGGACAGACTGAGCGTGTGAACCAGACCTTGGAGCAGATCCTTCGCAGCATCACGATGCACGACGCAGCAGCATGGGACAAGAAGCTGAGCATGGCAGAGTTCGCCTACAACAACACCCATCACTCTGCCACAGGCATGTCACCGTTCTTCGCACTGTACGGTCAGCACCCCAATGTCCCCACTCGTGTCGATCTCACACCCACTGTCCCACGTGCTGATAACTTCCACCAGCATCTCACCTTCATTCACGATCACGTGAGGAAGCACCCTGAGCTCGCAAATGCACGCATGGCACGCACTACCAACCGCAGTCTTCGTGAGGTGTCGTTTTTAGTTGGTGACCGTGTCCTTCTCGACAGCCGCAACCTCCGACTGCCACAGGACGGCAAGCTTCGCCCACGTTTCATTGGTCCATTCGTCATTGAGCGCGCACTTGGTCCAGTCGCATACCGCCTTCGCCTTCCCGCTCATTTCCGCATGCACCCATCATTCCACGTGTCTCTCCTTCGGCCTTACACTGATCCCAACACCACCTTCTCGGGTCGTGATCGCACTCCACTGCCGGTAGCTGTTGACACCGACGAGTCAGACTACCAGATCCAGCGCATCCTCAGGCACCGTCGCCGTCTGCAGGGAGGTGTCTCTTTCATCGACTTCTTGGTTCGTTGGCGTGGTTACGATGCAGCCGACGACAGCTGGGTTCCTTCGTCCTCGCTGTCTCCCGACAACGCTTGCCTCCGAGCGTACCTTCAGTCTGCAGGCGCCGCGGACGTCGCCTCCTTGGGAGGGGGGTAGTGTTAGAGGGGTGTTTACTGTTCATTCCGAACAGTACTTTCCAAGTCACCCTTATCCTTATCTTCTCAGATTCTCTAGTGCCACGTGGCACTCTACTTTTCTTGCACTACAAT